ATGCAAAATGCCCACGTGCAGGAATGGAAGGGCACCCAGCGCAAGTCTCTGGGCGACATCCTGTGTGTCTCCAAAGTGAAGCTGCAGCATTTACCTTTCCAGGTGCAACACCCTTGATAGGAGGAGGATTGGGAGGGAGGGGGGGGCTTCCCCTGGGAGTGAATGAATCTCAGTTGGGAGGAACAGAAATGCCATTTTCTTCTGGGACAAAACAATAGCTGAGATATCTATTCTATTCTATATTCTATTCTATTTCTCTATTCTATTCTATTCTATTCTATTCTATTCTATTCTATTCTATTCTATTCTATTCTATTCTGTTCTATATTCTATTCTATTTCTCTATTCTGTTTTATTCTGTTCTATTCTATTCTATTTCTCTATTCTATTCTATTCTATTCTATTATTTTATTCTATTCTATTTCTCTATTCTGTTCTGTTCTGTTCTATTCTGTTTCTCTATTCTATTCTATTCTATTTCTCTATTCTGTTCTATTCTATTCTATTCTATTCCACTCCACCCCACCCTACCCCACCCCAACCCACCCCATCCTACCCTACCCTATCCTAACCTATGTTATGATTTTATGTTATGATTTAAATCTTGAGTTAAGCCTTGGTAGTCATGAACATGGTCTGTGGTCACAAAAGTATTTAAAGGGGATCCATGGTGAAGAAAAGGTTAAAAAACACCTATATAGATGATGGATGGATGGATGGATGGATGGATGGATGGATGGATATGAGAGAGATAGGGATGGATGGATGGATACACACACACACACACACACACACACACACACGCACGCACATAAGATAGGGATGGATAGAGGATGGATGGATGGTAGATAAACAGACAGCAAGGTTACACTTCCAAATATATACTTGGAAGCCTAACTACTGTTTTTCATCCATCCATCCATCCATCCATCTCTCTCTAAATGAGGCTTCTGGGTGTAGATGGATATATTCTGCTCTGGTGTTTCAGAGGAGAAAATCCCCATCTATTTTACTTCATTGTAGATTGTTATTATTGTTATTGTTATCCATAAATAAACAAATCTAGTCTAAACATCTAGCTGACTATGCAACCAATAGTAATAGTAATATTCTTATGAAACAGTATCTGCCCATCTCAGATCCTTCAAAAGGACACGATAGGTGGACAAAAATGCCAAATTCAGCCTAAACATCTGGCTGACTGTGGGACCAACTATAAATAATCCCTTTTTTGCCTCTTTTTGCATAAGTAATAGGTATGCAGAGGGTATCTCTGATTGTTACTTTATTTGAAACCTGGTCTTCTTTGATACCAATAGGAACAGCATCATCGCTGGTTGGTGCTCTATCCTTCTACCCTGGTTATCGTATCTGAAGAACACAATGGCCTCTACTTCAAGGTAAGACAAATTCCTTGCTGGTACTTCCTTTTTCTCTCAGGTCATTTGGGTGGATAAAAATACGTTATTTCTGCTTGCTGTCCTTTTGTTGATGGACAAAAAAACCCCCCGACATATAATCCCAAGCTTTGGAAAGCGCAGAATCGCCCCAAACAGCCAGATGGGCAGTATGTAAATTCCACAAATAAACAAGTAAATAAATATTATCCAAGAGATGAGAGGAAATTGCAATGGGGGAATAATATTTTTCTAACGTTGTCTTTTTGGCTTTTTAACGGAATGAAATCATCCGTGACATGTTGCAGCTTTCAGGAGAAATAATTTATTTTAGATCAGTAGCATCTTAAAGAGTTGGAAGGGATATCTGTTCAAACCTCTTATCCTTCCCCCCTCCCGCCCCCCCCCTGGAATATCTCTGAGCATCTAGCTTGTTTGAAGATCTTCCCCAGTTCAAGTGTTGGCTTGTTCCTTATGGGCTTAAGCCCTTAGTTCGAATCCTGCCCTCAACTAACTCAACCTCCTCCGCTGTAGGATAAGGGTTTCCAGCTTTAAGACACACACACACACCCTCTTATAAGATGAGGCGCAGATGTGACTCTACAGAGACAATCTTCAAAGGTCCGCTTGGGTTTGCAACAAGCGATGAAATCTAAACCGGGCTGTTCCCGGTTTTAATTTTCAGTCTCTCCCAGCTGAATTTCAGAAGCGTTTTTTTGTACTGATCCCCATCTCAGCCGGTTCCTCCAGCGTGCCCGATCCTTGGCACGCTGCCCTTGCCGCAGGGCACAAAGGCTCTCCGCGGGATGAGCACCCTGTCCCTTTAAAAGGAAAAAATAAAATAAATAACAATAAGCACCCGGCTTTCCTTCTCCTGGAAAGCTGGTGGTGTCTGAATAGTTGTGGTTATGCCTGTGTCAGCAGGGTGGTGCCTGCCTACAGTCACATTCCTGGAATGGTGGTGGCGCAAGGCCCAGCCCGAACGGTAGCCTAGTTCTCACGGAGCTGGCCAACCTATTTTGCAGCTGCAAAGTTGCCAGGTGCAGGTGTGTGTGTGTGGGGGGGCTTTGGGTGTGACTCAACCCCGGGCGCCTGGCGAACCCATGCAGAGGTGTCTCTGGAATGAGGAAGCGACGGATAAGGGGTACAGGGCCCTGGTGGAAAAAGGGGACCAGCTTTGCTCCGTTTGATAGTATTTAGAGTCACTCCAGATCTGGACGGGAGGGGAGGGTGTGTGTGTGTGTCTGTTGCCTTAAGGAGAAGGAACCCAATGATTGTCCTTTAAATGCGTTTTATTCCTCTGCTGGTTTTGGAATCGGGGAAGCCATGCCTGGTTATAAATAGCCCAAGTACGGGGTTTTAAAATTTACCCAAAGGGAGAATGCTTCGGATCTGACAAATCGGCGTGCCCCGACTTGTGCTTTTCTCTCTCCTGGATCTGGCCCCAAATCCAAACAGGAAGGACCAGTCCCGTTTCTTTGATTCTGCGAAGGGCGCACAAGCGTCCGTTCCACCTTGCAACGGTTTTGAGATTCCTTTTAAAAATAGTCGCAGGGGTGCGCGTCGCCAAACATGTGTTGCAGAAGCTGCCTGTGGCTTTGGGGTGTGTGTGTGTGTGTGTGTATGTGTGAGGACCCAGCTGTTGCTATTAACTGGCTGAATAGGGGCTTTTCAAAGTACAGGTGCATTTGGCCTCTGTTTTTTGTTTTGTTTTGTTTTTTAATACGGTGGTTTGTAGAAGAATATAATTCTTGGAACTGGCTTTTGCTCCTGATGGTTCTCACCCAGAGAGTTCCTATTTAATGCAAGGCTGCCAGTCTGGTTTAACTGTGGTTGGCATCCTGAATGCACCAGGATCTGTTGGAGAGGCTTCCTTGCTAGGCAACGAAAGGAACGAGGGTTAAGATTTGATTTTCAGGGGAGAGGTGATGAAAAGGTTGAACCCTATGAAGATGCATGGCCTTGCTTTTCATCTCATCAAGAAGCTTCTTTCCAACTCAATACTCCAGAGAGAGCCCATGAAGCTAGCTTGTTCCTCTCAGGTGGCACCAAAGGGTTGGTCAGAAAGTCTATAAGCTCTTGGTTGTCCATTCACAGCAGAGATGTACCTGGCTTACAGGTTGGCAAACCTCTGGTGCCAACTGTAGGAACTTGACTTTGGACAGACAAGTCTACGCAGAGGGCCTTGTTTGGTCTCCGGCAGTTTTCATTCCTGTCTGACGGGGCGGAAAGTCTACGGAGATCCTCCATCCTCCAGGTCATGGCTGTCCCAAAGTAGCTTTTTCAGGAGGCAACTGAAGTTTGTTGGATGGGATGTGAAACATCTTCAAAGAGAGAGAGAAAAAAGGAAGGTCCAGTTGCCTCGTGAAAAGCCCCTTTGGGACCTGGAGCTGAAAGTGTGAACCATTTGCAAATGGCCCCAGTGGGCAAGGAGGGCTGAGAGACAATTGAACTGGGTCATTTCTGGTGTGGGTACCCTACCAGCCGATGGGAGGAGGGGAGTCAAGGATGTCCAACAGGGATCACTGGAGATTAGGTGGTTAGATAGTGAATAGTCTAGAACCGTGGTGGCGAACCTATGGCACGCATGCCACAGGTGGCACTCAGAGCCCTCCCTGTGGGCACACGCGCCATCGCCCCAGTCCTAGGCCTTCAGCTGGGTTTTATAAAACCTTTTCGCTTTAGGCCTCCGCCGCTATGTGCAAAAAAAAAAAAAGGTTCAATCAATCAGTCAATTTCAACTTCTCGCGGGGAAAAAAAAAGATCTCGCAAAGTTGGAATTGATTGATTGAACTTTTTAGTCCCGCCCAGTCTGTTGTTACCACCACAGCCACGCCCACCTAATGGGCCACACCCACCCAATGGGCCACACCCACCCGGCACCCAACGATGCATAAGTGGGTTTTGGGTTGCAGTTTGGACACTGGGTTTCTAAAAGGTTCGCCATCACTGGCCTAGAAGGAAGAAAAGGAGAAGGAAGGAAGGAAGGAGGAGGAGGAGGAGGAGGAGGAGGAGAGGGAGATGGAGGAAAAAGGAGAAAGGGGGGAGTGGGGAAGGAGAAGGAAGGAGGAGGAGGAAAAAGAGAAGGAATAGGAAAGGAGGAGAGGGAAGAAGAAGCAGAATGGGTTGAAGGAGGAGGAAGAGGAGGAGGAGGAGGAGGAGGAGAGGGAGAGGGAGGAAAAAGGAGAAAAGGGGGGAGTGGGGAAGGAGAAGGAAGGAGGAGGAGGAAAAAGAGAAGGAATAGGAAAGGAGGAGAGGGAAGAAGAAGCAGAATGGGTTGAAAGAAAAGGAGGAGGCGGAGGAGGAGGGAGAAGATAGAAAAAGAGGAGAGAAGAAGGAGAGAAAGATGAAGAGGTTGTTATTGTCATTGTCTCTGAATTGTGGCCTGTTTTCCCACACCTTTACAGAAACTGAACTCCTTTTCCTTGTTCTGTTGTCATAACCTCAGTCTACATTGCTCTGAGAACCGGGGGATTTCCCACAGCATTCTTTGTCC